TCTTATCCAAAAAAGGGTAGTGCATTAATGTGTGTGCTTATAAGTAAAAAATAATGAAGTATTCATCCATAAAATTGGGGAGAATGGGAAGAAGAGAATTATATGAAGGGGACAGGGATAGAATACAGGGACAGAAAATCAAGATATTTTTTGGGATCCATAATTATTTTCGATATTTATAATACAAATTACAAAAACAATTTCAAAAAGAAAAATAGACAAATGAATTGACGTTTATATCCATCTAGTAGTATAACCACAAAGAGAGGGACTATTCTAAGGGACTTTAAAGGATGGTAATTTGACTTTATATATACCTAATACAATATAACATAAGGCAAAAAGCACTGAAAATAATCTCTGTAATCATATTAATAGTAGCAGTAGTGTTATTCAAATCATTGTTAGTAGTAGTGTTATTCAAATGTTGTAACTACATTGTGGGATAAAGCAAATGTATCATCATGTTGGTATTACAGAAGTGGGATTTGTCACTATGGAGAAAAAAAGGGGAGAAACAAAAACAATATTGCTGAAATAATAAAAAATCCTTTAGAATGAGAAGTAGAATGAGAATTAGAATGAGAAGTATCCATATGAGCACTTGATGTATTTACCTTAAAAAAATTTCTTAGAAACAATGATGGACTCAGTAGCAATGAACATCCCTACAATCTAGATTGCGGTTTCTAAATACCGTTTCCCACTCAAAGAAACAAGGATGTCCAGAGAAATGTTTGATCCTGGGCCTAGACAAAGAAATGCGTAAGACAAGACCAGAACCTCATTATACTAAAAAGCAAGAAAGTTTATTAAGGCTGGGTCAAGACCACTCAGGAGTTCATTTGAATTGCCTCACTGTGACCAGACATAGGACAATTTTAGCATCAATAAAGATAAGAAATGAAACACATTGTGCTTCAAACACAATTGCAACATGGTAGGAAACAAAACACATTGGTGACCTTTGAAAGATATGAGGGAGTCAATTTGATATTCTGACAACTAGTTTCAAAATGAGAAAGCATAATAATTAGGCAGTTACCTTACCTTTCCTAGGCAAACTACAGCTCAGGGTAAGCGAATTATTAATGAATTTGTTTGATCTATAGAACTATTCTGAATATTACACAAAGGGAATACTAGAAGTTTGAAGTCACCACTTTATTATCCCTAATGAACTAAGTCTAAGCAAGGATCACTAATGACTGCTAACATAACAGTGAGGGAGAAAAACCATACATCATGTTCCACCCAGTGGATGTACACGTGCCAGCTACAGAGGGTCAGGCCACGACAAGGGCTCAGCCTCTGCATCAGGAGCTGGGTGTGAGGGGGACTTCTTCTTAAAGGGCCAGAGAAATACTTTAGGTTTCTGGGGACATGAGCTCTCTGCTACAATGACTCAAGTTGGCCACTGTAGCTTGAAAGCAACCACAGATAATTTGGAAATGAATGGACATGGCTCTGTTTAAAAACCAAACCCATTATTTCCAAAAATAGGGAACTGGGCCTTAGGCTTTGTCAATCCTCCTGTGGAATTTGGAGCTCACCTCTAATTTGTAGGAATGGAGAGGGAAAGGGGATATATCAAACACCACCACAGAGATGCTATCAGTAAAATTCAGACTGAAGGAAACTGTCGAGGACAGACTACCTGGTGTCTTAAAAAAAAAAAAAAATTAAAAGTTGGAAAGGAAAGTCATAGTTTTATAAGAAACATTAAAGTTCTATCAAGGAATCAAAATATTTGGGCTTTATTTTAATACCAACGCTAACACATTTTGAAATGAATGGTGACATTAAGGGACTGTTCTTTCAGGTTTCATAATGGTGCCTTATGGTCATGTTTGTCAGAATTCATTTCCTTTTAGATACATAGTGAAATACAGATAGTGTGATACATATCTCCTGTTTGCTTCAAGGTAACATGAGGTGGACAGAGGTGGGGCTGTAAATAAAATGACCTTGACACTGAGTAGACTATTGTTGGGGTTGGGTAATGGGATTCAGTGCACTGTTCTGTACTTTTGACTCTGTTTGAAGTTTGCCAGAGTGAAGAACTTAAAAAGTTCACAAACATACCACAGATCCAGTAAGAAGAGATATATAATGTAGTGAAGATGAAGAGAAACAGGATTAGTTTTTTGAAAAGGAGAGTCCCTTAGAGCAATTAAGAGGAATTATGCTGATCTGATTTAATTTGTTTCTTTCTTCTTGTTAGAATCAACAACAAGTTGAAGCAAATCAAATCCACTCTAATGTCCCTGGTAATCCCATCACTTCCCCACCCCATCCCCCCCCACCCAGAAGGAAACAAATTCCCAGGGTGGCCGGGCTGGGGCTGAGACTCCAGGACACTGCTAGTTCCGAATGCAATATTAATACATCTCTTCTTAGTAGCAAAATCTTGATTATTTAAGGGATGCCATTTAAACGTATTCAAAGCCTCAGTATCCTTAGTAGCTATGGCTGGTCAGGTGATCTATTGTTGGTCACAGGATCTAGTTTGGGCCACTAGAACATAAATTATCCAAGGGACAAATGAACCATTGCTTTGAACTCCACAGCCTTGGACAGCTAGATTCCCCTGTGGGGTTTCTCTCAGTGCAAAGGTGCTGAAAGACAGGGCCACTTGCTGTGTTAACGGGCAAAGTCCATGCTAACTTGAAACCTATGGGTTCCCATAGCTTTGAGTTCAGATGCCTGCCGCCCTGGAGTGAAAGCCATGCCAGTGTACCCAAAGAGCCTGGGGCGCCAGCTGCCTGGAGAAGGAAGAACACTGCACAAGTGACAGGTCTCCAATCAGGCCAGTCCCCACAGCCTCTGGCTTCCTGTTTATCTTGCAAAATTTTCTCACAATAAATCCCCCTTCGATGTGTTTCACTATAAATAAAGCATGGACGGGGTCGCTTCTTTCCTTTGTTAGAGATCCGACCCATCAGGTCCAATCCACTCATCAGGCCCCACTGTGAAACTGTTTTCCTGTGTGTGTGTGTTGTTTTTTTTTTTTGTATTTTATGTCTTACTAATTATTTCAGACTTTTAATTTCTCAGTCAGCTCACACCTCAGTGCTGTTATCTGATCCCTCCTTGGGCAGGACAATAAATGGTCAGGGCTTCCAGAAAATAGGATTTTCTAAAGAAGACAGGCCCAGCAGGTGCACCCAGTCTGGCTTATTATTGTTTGGGTGTAATTCCAGTGACTGAGTGAGTACTGGCCATCTTGTGCCTATCAGGATAAAAGCAACACTCCATGACAGGAGTCGGGAGAGACAGAGAGAGAACGAACGAACGGGAGACACGGGAGAGGCTCTGACACAGGTCTGGACTACCCACCTCCATAGACTTCACGTGGCATGAGAAAAATACTCCTTTATGGTTAATTCACTGTAGTCAGACTTTTGTTGTACATGGAAAAACACAGTCTCTAATATCTTGAACACAAAATATCCAAAATCAAATACCCAATCTCCTCTTCTTGAAATGTCCCACTTGGCAATACCTGCCTCTAAGTCACTCTGGCCAGACATTTCAATTGCTCTTTAACCCTCTTTCTCCTTATTCAGTCCACCTGCCAAGACTTCTGTGTCTTACCTTTGAAATGTACCCAACAAATGAACCACTTCCCAGTAGTTTAACTGCTACAACCTAACTGGTCTCCACCACCTCTCACAGCGTCTGTTTCAGGGGCCCCTTGATCCATCTCCTACTTCAACCTTTGCTTCCTATAGTCTGTGAACATTCAGGAAGAGGGTTCCTTTGGAAATAACAGTCACATCAAATCATTCCTCCATATGAATTCCAAGCTGCCTCTCCATCACCCTAGGAACATCTGTGGTTCTAGCTGTGGACAATCAGTTCTCAGATAGCCTCACCTCCTGTTGATCCAGCCTCTATTCACTCAGCTCCAATCATTCTGGCTCCCTTGATCTTCCTGGAATGCACCAAACTAGCTTAGGATTAGGTTTTTACCCTTGCTCCTTACACTCCCTCCTTCTGATTAGGTACCATCAAACCCTGGCTTAGCTGACTCATTTGCATTCCCCATAGACTCCAGATAATAATAGCCTGTACTCACCTCCTTGTCACATCAGGCTAGCTCTGTGCTCCAACTTTATTTATTTATTTATTTATTTATTTTGAGAGAGAGAGAGAGAGAGAGAGAGAGAGAGAGAGAGA